CGCTGTCAGCGTCGCCGGCATAAAAATTATGTGGCAGAAGGTGCTGGCAGTAGGGAATGTGCTGCCCTCGCTGGAGCAGCTCCCGTCGCAGGCAATAGGCTGACCCCAAAAGGCAAAGGCAAAGCCAAAGGCAAAGAACTACGACTGGGCAATAATTTGCAGCTCTCCCTCTACTAAAAAGCGGCTCTCATTAGGCTGCCCACGCACCACCGTGGCGTACAAAATGTACACGAGCTTTCTGCTGGTGGTTAGTGGTGTCGCCAAAAGCTGAAAATGATTTATATAACGCACACAAATAAATACAAATCTCGCCGCATAATGTGAATGCTAACTGAGCGCGCTCTCTCTTTCTTTCGCACAGGATGATATGGAGCAATGGGTTACGGACACATTTTATTCGTATTTTCCCGGCTTCAACAATGAAAATCAGAAACGCCAAAATTATTTGCGTGAGCGACAGCGCGAGAATCAGCAGAACTTGCTTAAGCACCAGGTAAGTGCCATGAACTATAGACCATAAACCATATCGCGCCATCGGGTATGTTAATCCGTGTTGGATTTATGTGACAGCCAGTAAATTGATTTGTGTTGTTTCTAGATGCTGCACCCGCCATTGGCTAAACAGCGAAGACAGCTGAAGCCAACCACAGCAACGCCAACAGCAACTTCAGTGCCGGCCGGAGAGGAGCTGCAGACCACGGCGCGCTCCAGTCAATCCAGCACAAGCACAAACCATAGCCGAACGGATAAGACTGACCTAGAGTTAATTGTAAATAATAACCCCAACTATGTGCCGCCGAAAATACGTACGGCCACGACACGCCAGCAGCTGCTCCATGATCTTGGCCACGTTGAGCTCTCCAACATTGTCTCAGGCGATGGCATCAACGAGCGCAACATGCGCAGTGCCGAACTGGAGACGGCTCGCAAGAAAGAGTACCAGCGGGACTTGATGCAGCAAATCGAAGAAAAGCGTCGGTCCATTGAGATGCTACGAGAAAAGGAACGGCGACAGGAGGAGGCGCTGACCAGGTGACTATTGTCGAGTACTTTACCAGCCATGCTCAACCACTCTCCTATTCTTGCCTAGGCGCCTGGAGGCACAGCTCAAGACGATGCACTTGGAGGAGCAGCTCGAAAAGGAAAAGAAGCGAGCTGAGAAGGTTGGTTTAAAATCAAATCTGACGTCTGTCCCCATAGATGGCTTTATTCTGATCTATATGTCTACAAATTCGTTTGGATCAAACACCCCAATATTTGTATTTGTAGGATTTGTAGGAATTTGTTGTCTGCATATTAATGTCAACTTTTTAACATCTTGCCTTAAATATTAGAATCACGCTCTTTATTTTATACACTTATTTCTCACTGATTGCGATCATTAATATTAAAACTAAAATTCTACTTTAATGTCCAGATAATATAATTTCAGATTATATTATTCGATTTAATGTTCTACCTACGTAATTCCAGCATTCATTTGCTTCAAGTGAATTTTAATTAATTTTGATTATATTTCACACATTTATTTTTTTAACGATTAGAATTTAAAAAAATATTTTTTATTCTCACATCAGTTTCGATTTCTTAAAATAATTAATCTAAACTTTTGAAGGAATGAGAAATATTTTCGATATCCAGTTCCTATCTTATTTTCCATTAGAAATTCGTTCCGTTAGTTCTATACTATCTAAGCTCGTTTCATAGCAAAATATATCTCACATTATTTGAAAATAGTACCGAAATTAAAATTATTCTGCAATATATTATCCATTCCGATATGTCCGTTAAATTAAAATTAAACAATTTGTATTGCTGGCCGCTTGATTGGGTTTCGTATATTTCTTATGCCGAGTGATTTGATATTAAAAGTAACTGATGAATCGCTTCAACAGGCACGTATTGAGACGGAACGGAACCGTTTGATGCGCGAAAAGCTGCTGGCCAAACTGGAGGAGGACGCGCAGCTGTTGCATGCGAAGGAGCTGAATAATTCAAAGGATATCAAAGCCAACAGCACCAACAACAGCATCAACAACAACACCAACATCAATAACAACAGCAATAATAATAACAGCAATGCCAACACAAACAAGGTCTACAAATATTTCAGCAATTCAGCACGGCACGAATATCGACGCGGCCAGCCGTTGCCGCCGGGCGTGGAGCTCGATTTCGAACTGCCTCAAATGGCGAAGATCGAGCGCGAATGCTTCCACTTGTGCGAGAAGATCTGCCCGCTCTGCGACGAACCGCTGAAGAGCTATGAGAGCTGTTGCCTGCGATGCCAGCGCAAATTGGCCTTGAAACTGAAGCCGCCGAGCAGCGAAGCGCCGACAGCAACGAGCGATGAGGCGACCGTGGAACCGGCTGCTGCAGTCGATCACAGCTGCCAGAATAGCTACGCGCTTGTGTGCTTGAAGTGTGAGCGCCTGTACGCCATGTGTGGCCAGTGTCTGGTGAAGAGCGATGTCTGCCGCGCCTGCCAGCGAGAGCGAAATGTCTGCATGAATTGCCGCCGCAATCTGTGCTCCTTTTGCCTAGAGGAGATTGCCTGCGGTCGCGATGCCGAGCGCACGCATATTAATGAGCAACTGGACCGGGAGCAGCCAACAGAGGATTCGTTTCGCGTGCTGGAAGTCAATTGCCCGCCGGCAGCAGAGAACAATTGCTCTAACCTAGCGGATACGACGCCGCCGCCGTACTCCTTTAATATATCTCCCAACTCGGTGTTTCACGAGGACTATAAGCCCACGCCCGTGAAGCCATTGCAGCTGGATCAGGAGCCGCTGCCCACCGTCTCGGGCAGTGCGAACAACAGCTTCGAGGTTGACAGCGCCGATGAGCAAGCCATGAAGCGGGTGAGACGTCAGACGGATCAGCGCTTGTCGCGTTACCTGAAAAACTATGGAGACTTGGCACTTAAGAAGCAGCAGCAGCAGCTGGAGTTGCGCAGCAAAAGTGAATCGCGTCATCGCGGGACACAAACAACACCACAGACCTTGGGAAGGCGCGATATCGTTCTACACGAGACTCCCACGCAGAATTTATCAATGCCTCTGTTGCGCGAAATGCCCAAAATGACGCGCAAAGACGCGGCCCCAACGCTGGATGGCAATCGGCAGCAGCAAAAAATGGACAATCTCAAGAAGCGCTGGGAGGTGTGTAGTTGCTCATTGAGCCTTAAGCATAAATAGTAACCTATTCTAATATCAATCCAGGTGCCCGTCGTGCAGAAGTTCACGGTGTCCACATCGTCCCCTAAGATCCTGACACAAGTGGGCGCAATACGCAAGCAACTGCAGGCGGCGCGTTTCTATGATGATGGCCAGGACGCCGACGACGACGACGACTACTGAGAGCTAACGCCAATTTTTCAACAGCTTCTCGTGAAAAATTGCCGATGTTTAGTTGATGTTCAGTCGAAATTGCTCAGTAACAATAATTAAAAAAAAAAAAACATTTAGTTTTCTCGATTTCTCTATATACTTTATATATTCATTGCCCTTAAAAAATTGTGTAAATTCGGTTGATTTTAAGTTTACCATAGATAGTTTTATATTTCCTTCCTTTTACATTCTCACTCCATTTTATTTCGTTTAGTATATTTGGCTATCCAAAAACTAATCACTGAGATATTTATTATATGATATATGATACCATGTGCTTCTGCTGTTAAGCAGCTATCAAGTTTACGTAATACTTAAGTAAAAAGTTTGTTAATGTTTTTATACATATACATATAAATTAAATGACATTGTATTCAATTAAATAGTTAATGGTTTTTCAATACGTAAATATATTTAAATATTTAGAGTTTTTCATTCGCAAAAACATTGGAGCAACTAGCCGCAAAGTGCATGAGACTAAACCATTTTATTAAGATATATGTATATGTGATCGGAAACTCGTAAAAATATTAGCCTATATACGTATCATCATGGTCTTATTGTATCGTTAACAAGAGTATCAACGTCTTCGAGGCTTCTGTAATTAATTCCTCTAATTAAATGTAAGTCGGCAAATATCAATGTAATGATCAATTAATAATTGTAATTAATTCAGGAAGCTTTGGACTATGAACTTGTTCTTCTTGATAGTTCTCACATTATTATTTACATATGTGTTGACATATAGTTCTCTATGAATGAAGGCAAAAAGTTTTTTTTTTTTTTTTTTATGAAAACAAATTTTATATTTAAACTGTTCTACTAAAAATTCAAGAGATATTTTTATGATCAGCATTAATAATATAAAATTCTTCTTTCAAACCTGCATTTAGAAACATACCATATCTATGCTCCGTATGACTCATTWTTAATTTTCCAAGAAGCGGGAGGCTGATATCTGAAAAGTAAAGTGTAAATGTAGCCCCACTGCAGTGGGGCCAGTCCACTGGCGAGCCATTGCCAATATTGAATAATATACTAGAGTTTTCAGTTTTGAAATCGTGGTTTATTGTCTTGCTTTCGAAATTGTCGAATCAGATGTATCGCCGAAGGCGTGTGGGATTTACCAACGTAGGGGGCGTGGCGCGTAGATAGGGGCGTATTGGGTGTAGGCCCCAGCTGATCCATAGCTTGGAGCTGGAGCGCTGCATGGAACTGGAGCTAGGTTGGGCTGGCAGCTGAACAGATAGTTCTTGGGGCACGGCGGTGCGGGAATGGAGACGGGTGCTGCCTGGGCTGGAGCCGCGTTAGCTGAATAGGATGGTGCAGCTGGAACAGCNTTTTTTTTTTTTTTTTTATGAAAACAAATTTTATATTTAAACTGTTCTACTAAAAATTCAAGAGATATTTTTATGATCAGCATTAATAATATAAAATTCTTCTTTCAAACCTGCATTTAGAAACATACCATATCTATGCTCCGTATGACTCATTATTAATTTTCCAAGAAGCGGGAGGCTGATATCTGAAAAGTAAAGTGTAAATGTAGCCCCACTGCAGTGGGGCCAGTCCACTGGCGAGCCATTGCCAATATTGAATAATATACTAGAGTTTTCAGTTTTGAAATCGTGGTTTATTGTCTTGCTTTCGAAATTGTCGAATCAGATGTATCGCCGAAGGCGTGTGGGATTTACCAACGTAGGGGGCGTGGCGCGTAGATAGGGGCGTATTGGGTGTAGGCCCCAGCTGATCCATAGCTTGGAGCTGGAGCGCTGCATGGAACTGGAGCTAGGTTGGGCTGGCAGCTGAACAGATAGTTCTTGGGGCACGGCGGTGCGGGAATGGAGACGGGTGCTGCCTGGGCTGGAGCCGCGTTAGCTGAATAGGATGGTGCAGCTGGAACAGCTGGTGCGCCGTAGCCCTGGGGAGCGGGTGCAGCGGCAGGCTGGCCATAGCCACCCCCATAAGCAGAGCCCAGCATCTTCTCCTCCTTGTCAGCGCCGGCAACGGATGTGGCCAAGAGGCAGGCAACAGCGGCGAGCACAATGAACTTCATGTTTGGAGTTAATTTGGGTTTCGGATTAAGTGCGGAACTTTGGCAATTGCGAACTGCGATATGGACTGCACCAAACGAGTGGCTTTATATAGCAGTCCACGGCTGTGGCGAAGAGAAATGCAAAGCCAAGCATTGACCAAGTTTAAAAGCGCTCTGAGCTGATTCAGCTCATTTTTTTACTGGTCGAAAGAAACTATTCGACTTTTTTATTGTGGGTCTGAGCGCATATTTTATTTTACTTTTTTTTCTATTTCCGCAATTTGTATATTACAAAATCTTTAAGAAGCTCTTATTAGCTTAAGTCTTTTTACTCTGTACATGAATTTTCTATCTGTAGTACTTATAGAGTTATTGGAAATTGTTGCTTTGCTTTTTCCTTTTAAAAAAAGCAAAGCAAAAAATGAAAAACAAACGGATTTACTTGATAAGAGAAAAGTGAGTCGTTTCTGGGTGTCTGGGTCTATGTCGGTATAATGGCATCGAACAGGCATTAAATAAGCAAATAGGCTGATGCTATTTCATCGTAGGCAACAAAATTAACCCCAAATTTCGATTGCTGATTGCTGAGGATTAGTCCTGAGTCAAAATCAAGTTTAACTGACAATCTTGTCAAGTACAAGTTTTTCAGCATTACTTTTAGTTCAGAGTTCCAAGTGGGTCACAGTGTTCTTTTAACAGTTTGCAATTGGAGCAGCAAGTGTCCAATGAAGGGTGCCGCACACAGCTCCACACAGTCACGCTCGCATACGCACACTCACGCATACATACTCTTACACACATTCAGCAAAGGTTTGACTTTGGGCTTGCCAGTGCAGTTACTTAGCTGATTTTCGTATAAGAGTTGGAATATAAGTTGAGTGTAGGGGAAAAGTATCAGAGTATAAGAGAGAGGCAAGTGTGTTAAGAATAGCTTGCATAAGCTAATAGCCCATTGGGTTGCTAGAATAATAATAAAAAAAAAAAAAGAAATATGTAGATATAGATGTAGTGTAGATAAAGATATAGATATAGATATATAGATACATAGATATATAGACATACAGATATATAGATATATAGATACATAGATATATAGATTTCAATCGATTTCAATTCTTTTTTAATGCTTTCATATTTCTAATACTTTATTATTTATATATATAATTAATTGGGACATTGATAATATCAGATAATACCAGATTCGAGATATAGATGTCTCTCAACTAGGTATCATGCAGAAGTATCCTTTACTTTAAGCCCTTTATGAAGTATACTAAATTGTTAACCACAGTCGAATCGCTGCCACTCTGGTTATTTGTGGTCGTGGCTCCCTGCAATTCAGCCACCAAAATAAGACGATGGTTCGGATCAGTCTTCAAATGACTTTTCAAGTCCACGTCGTCATGCATTTGAACGTCGGTTTTATCCACACTCTGCTTCATCTTGCTCTCCTCATCGTTGTACTCGGCACTGGCCAGTAGCTGGCTATAGGCCTTCTGTAGATTGTGCTCCTCAGATTTATCAAGGAAATTCAGCAACTCGGTGATCATCTTATCGTGCTTGTGCGCCTGCTGAGAGTCATATGGTGGAGGTTGTCGCGTTGCGAACTGCGCTCGATAGCCCGACTTGTTGTCCAGCGGTTTTAGACTCACACGATACCAGTGCTGATCCCTAGAGTCTTGGCCCAGCAGCGCATACTCAAATTGTGGCGTAGGCCTGGGCGTGGGCGTGGGCGTGGGCGAGGGCGTAGTGGCCGGAACCCCCAGTCGATCGGTCGTGGCAATTATGCTGTTATTACACATAGTTGAATTGGCCAATTGATCGTGTTTGTAGCTAGAAATGCATTTGGCTTCGATTATAAATTTAAGAAAGCAACTTACTCGAACCCCACTAGTAGAACTGATTGGCTCAGTTCATATTCGGACGAAAGAGAGAGAGCTTAGACCTATCGTTACTAAGGTTCGCGAGAGCCCAACTCAGTGCCCCTAATCACTAGAACTCTAGTGTGGGAGCGCTTAACTTGTATATATTACTATACTAAATATTATGCTATATGTTACTATATATAAATTAATATTTAATTTGTTTATAAATTTAGAGCACGACAGTTGAAAGTGTCTTACTTTTATATACCCTATCCGAACGTATTGGCATAAGTACAATACCACATAATATTTAAAATTAACATAATATTTAAAATAATGAATGATTCAAGATGGAGGACGACTTTTTCTAATAGTTATTTAAGTATAACAACCGCAATTCCCCAAAATATTCAGTGTCTTTTCACTTACCTCAGTTGATTGTAGCGAGGCTCCTCGAGGGGCAGCGTTAGAGCCAGGCCCAGCAGAGTGTAAATGATAGTGCTCAGTGCTTGTGGCTCCCACATGTTCCCAACTACCCAATAACTGCTGCTCGTTTGTGGCTTGATGCTTTGTTTTTATAGTCACAGCAATAGCAAAAGAGTTGAATATGTTCTGGGTATTGAGTTTCAATTGCGAGCTTCGAGTTCGTTGTGCGATGCGGGTTGTAAATGAAGCTGCGACTACAAGTATTATTTGATTCCAGAAATGAATTGCCCAGATAACACGCTGCTGCTTTCCTACAGCATAAAATCAAGCTTTTGTCACGTTTGCAGTGTTTTCTTTATTAGCCGGCAAATTATTTACATTTTGTTCGGCTCGAGGTTAAACTTTATAAAAGAAAGTAAACGATTTTGCAATAGAAACCGAAATTCTTGATGAGATTAATAATATTTAATTTATACTGGGCTTCTCATATTCATAACCCACTCAGCAGCTTCACCTTTGAACCAATTTACCGACATTTTTAAGGTTTTCCAAAAATAAATTCTGTTGTACTTTGTTGACAGAAGCATGTTCAGTAGAATTTACTGCAATTTGTGTTCTATTTATAAAAGCTAAGAAAGAACCGTTAGCTTTTGCTGTGTGCTCGCCTCTTTGCTTGCATTTTTGTGTATCATAATTATAGCCCACAGTAGCAAATTTAACTTTATTAAGTGCGGAGCAGTCTTTTGGGCTTACGGACATTGCAATTAAGTGAAATGAGATAGTTTTTGAGAAATGTCACTCGGAAAACAATTATCTGATTATGAAAATGACCGTATTTCTCACTTTTCGAGTCAGGAGAGTCAATTTCCAGTATTTCACGAAACTTGAAAAAAAAGTCGTGTAAATAAAAAAATAGAATAATTGAATTATAAATTTAATAATATCAATAAAAATATTTGCTTAGATTTTAAACATGGCATTTTCTTTATATGTTGTTCGCAAAATCATACAGGCAAAATATATAGATACTTTCATTTTTCGTGATCTCCGAAAATCGGGGGCTTAGGGTAGCTGCCCTAGAATCCTCCATGAATCATGTCCACATCCTTCAGAGGCTTCTTGCATTATTTAATATTCAGACGAACTGTGCTGATATAAAATTGAAAGCTTGCTATATTTAAATCAACCTCTCTTAAGGCAAAGTGAATAAAAATGCAGTATTTAAAATCTTTTACTTCATGCGTCGTACATGCACTCCCTCAAGACACCTAAGACATCATTCTCATCCCTGGAATATTACGATTTCTAAGGTACTCAGATTGAGCCATGAGTGGGCGGTCATCGTCTTGGTTAAATGTAAATAATAACAGGCTAATGGCGAAAATGGGAAAACTTTTAGATGGAAATTGCATTTGTAGTTGCGACAGTTTCTTGACTCGAATTGCATTTTATTAGAGGCTAACAATTGTTTGCTTAAGGAAACGCCACTTACCAATGGTCACTTCCGGTCCACGGAAAAAGTAGAACGGAACGAGCAACATTTAATGCTGTCTCTGTCAGACGTAGCACAGCGTTGCCAACACGAATTTCTATATTATTATCAGTGAAATTGGCGACCTTTGCTAATGGTCTGCGAGTGGATGGGGGCCGGGGGTGCTTGGGTGGCCTTTAACTGTTAATAAACACAGAAATACTTTCACTTCGCCCAGCGTGCGTACTATGCGCGTGCTCTCACGCTCGCAATGGCCGCTCTCGTTTTTATCTCTCTCCTCGCTCTTGCTCTCGCTCTCTCTTATTCGCTCTCTCTGAGCAGCTGGGACCAGCTCAGCTGTTGTTGTGGGCGACATTGCCATTTGCCTGTTGGCGTGCAAGCGTTTGGCAATTTGCGCGCGCATTGACCAACACTGCCACACGCACATACAACACACATACGCAATGTTGTCCATGAGGCAGCAGCAGCTGCAAAGCTCGGCGCCTCGACTCAGTTCGTTTGGCTTTTGGCTCGGGCGAAGTTTTTGCAAACGCCAGTAGACAATCTTTCCTCATTTCGTTAACACACACAGACACGCAGCACAACAGCAAGAACTGGCTTCAAACCTTCAAGCAACAATAACTTAAAGTATCTTAATCTAACTAATAAATTAATGTTAAATTAATCATATCTATATATGTAACCACAAATAAGTTCAATAATGTCTAGTGCTTCAAGAGCTTAAACTGTGCATCTGTCTAACGGTCGTGTTGAATTATTAATCTAATTAATAACAAAACAATAAAAATACTAATAAACATTGTGTGCACATTCGAGCAAAATAATTA